ATTATTAAGTGATATAGGTGTTTTAAAATTTTCAAAAACTTTGATCAAAGATATCTCGGCAACCACTTGACCAAAATCAATAATTTTTTTTTATTTGAATTTTACAAATCTGTAGAATTCAAATAAAAAAATTCGTCGATTTTGATCAAGTGGTTGCCAAGATGTCTTCGATCAAAGTTTTAAAAGTTTGTAAACAATAAAGTGACAAAATTAAAGAGATCTTTGTATAACTATGATACGAATAGCAAAAATTCATGGTGCAAATAGCAATTCCCTTTATAATATATGAAAAAAGGTTAGATTGCTTATAAGCTAAAAATAGATAAGTTAAAAAAAATTTTAATCAAAAAAATTAGTTACAATTTTTTGTCAAACTCTTTAAATATTAATTTTAAATATAGTCAGCTCTCTTTAAATGCATATTATTAGGACCAAACTTTTAGAAATATGCATTAAGAAAACAATAAGAAAAAATGTATTTATAAAGATTTGGTATATATTTGGATTAGAAAATTAATATGTATTTAAGAAAGTTATGCATTTAGGGGAATCTATTTAGAAAGGTCTGACTGTATATAGTTCTTAAAACAAAATTATAGTTAATACAAAAATTACAATATTATTATTATACTTAGTAATTTACTAATAAAAATTAAAAAAATTAATTCTATAACCTCATAATATTTAATTAATCTTTATAGATTATTAGAAATGATGTTCACAGTATACTAATATTGTTGTATTAAATTATATTTTTAAATTTAATACTATAATTAATATTAGAGTTTTTTTTATATTTTAAATAAACTAGAATATAGTTTGTATCATATTTTACAACTAACACTCTTTTATATAGTTCTAGCTAGAAATGAATTTAATATTTATACTATTATCCAATAGCATGATTCTTTTAAAGTAAACAAGCTGTTTAACATATATTTGTTGATACATTTCTACTCCATGAGCAAACTAGCAAAAGTATAGTTTTTATTAATTAATATAACAAGAGACAAGGCCTTTGTTATCTATAATGTGGAGTATGAAGTTAACTTGCAACATCTTATAAAAAGAATTTTTTTTTTATATCAAATATCAAAAATAAGTTTTTTTTATATTAAATATCAAAAAATAATTTTTTTTATATTAATATCAAAAGATAATTTTTTTTATATCAAATATAAAAAATAATTTTTTTTTTATATCAAAAAAGATTGAAAATTTTTTATACTTACTTAGAAGCAAAAATTTTTTATAAATAAAAAAACATATAAAATTTAAAATAATTTTTATAGTAAAAGTTTTAATACAAGAACTTTAAACTTTTATTACATTAAAGTTTTTTAATAATTTTAAAAAATTTTTTTAACAAAAATAATAAAATAGATCTAAAATTAAATATTTTACTTAGAAAATATATTAATAAAAATGCAGACAAATTTGCCTGTATTACAAATTAAGAAATAGCAAAAAAAATTATATGAAGCTAAAATATATTGTAAGTATATATTATTTAAATAGTATATATAAACTAATATACTATATATAGAAAATTATTTGATAAAGCAATATATTAATTTTAATATATAAATAACAATTTTGATAAAAATATAATTTTCAAACTAAAAAAAAATTTAAATTATTTATAAAATTTGATAAAATAATTTCTTAAATTATATAAATTAAAATTATTATTCTTTAAATTGTTTTTCAAACTAAAATCTAATCTATCTATATATATTTTGGGTCCTGCATAGATCTTGTAAATAAATAAAAAAATAATTACATATGTTAGAAAAATAGACACATACTTAAAAACCAACTACTATAATACTATAATACTATAATTTTTATTATATTACTAATTTAGTTGGTTTAGTGAAGTTGGCCTACTTAGGTTTTAAGTATTTTATAGACTCTTTTTTCTTGGTATACACTTTCAGAGCACATATCCTTTTTCTCCAATACAACTTGGTGACCAGATTAGTAGATTCCACCTCTAGGATTTTATAATATCTAATTCTCTCAAAGTATTAGTTCTAGTTTGGTTTAATTTTATAGCACTTTTGTAGTTTTTACTACTTCCAACTTAAGTTTTGCCAAGCTAGTTTAGAATCCTCAAATCCTTTTTCAGTTTTATATATTTTTGGTTTTTCTATACAACTCAAATATTACACAACTACTTTTAAAATCTTCTAGTGTACTAGTAGCACTGGTGTGACCAGAGTTATAGGCCCTAAAACCTGACTTATTAATAAAAATCTATTATTATAATATAAGTAGTTTTGTTTAAATTATTGCTAGTGGGATTCAAACTTGGTATCTTAGTTACAAGCTAACTTGGGAGTGCAATAACTTAACTACTATACTATATTACTATATTCAAAGTTTTTTTTTTAATATTAAGATAATCTCTTTGGTCTAAAGATTGTTTTATTAGAAGTTTTTTTTAATTATAACTAGATTAACAGGAGCTGTTGTAAGTCTGAAGCCTAATATATTATTACTGTTATTTTAATATTAATTAATTATTAGCCAATAAAAATAATATCATATAGTAAACAGACAGTATAGTAGTGATGATCAAATTATATAAAAGTACACAAAATATGCAATATTGTGTGCTATGATATCAGATGAGGGAAATCTATAGCATTTTGAAGTAATTGCTTGTTTATTGAAAGTTTTTTGCTATGCTCTAAACAATAAAAATACATCAAACAATATATATACTTTTAGTGTCTAATTTAAGTAGTTTGCTGAAGATTCTATACTATCTGCTATACTTACACCCCAACTATAGGTGTATCTATTTAAACCCTCTGATATTTGAAAAAGTTAATTATTATATATATATTATTTGGTATTATAAAATAAAAAAATATATAAATTTAGTTTTTGCTTATATTAAGTTAGATAAATTTAGTATTGTAGTATTGAATTTAATTGATATTTAATTTTTTAGCATTTATTCTATACTGGTTTTGATTTCTAGTATTTGGATTTTAATAATTGAATATTTGAGTAGAAATATAAATTATTAAAAGGCAAAGTTTTAATAAAATCTTGTTGGTAAAAATTTGTAGATTATTTGAAAATATAATTATATAAAGTTGAGAGTAAATTTGAGTAAGTGTTTGGATTTCTTGATAATTAATAGAAATTTATAAAATAGAGTTTGATGAAGTTTTTTTTTTTTTGTTTTTGAGTTTTATATATAAGATTAATTATGTTTTTGAATAAGTTATTGAGAGTTTGGGAATTAGAACTTAGAAGAGTTATACTAGAGTTATTGTAGTTGAATGAGTAGCTTTCAATTATATATAAGTTGTTTGTTTATTTTATTTTGTTTATATTAATTTGTGTTGGTGTAAAAATAATACACCAGTTGTTTTAAAGATTTTGAATTTTTAGTAATTTTAAATATATTTACACAAGTACAAAATACACTTGCTATCTACTTTTCAAGTATAAAAACTCAAACTATATTCTAAAATCTATATTTTGGTTAATTTAGACTATATGGGATTTCTTTGATACAAGGAGTTTGAACTTTAATATGTCAATATACAACTTAGTATTATAACTATATTATAACCTACTATATTACTATTCTATCTTTGTTCCGTGGATAACATTGAAAATAAACTTAAATTATCGATCTCAGTAAAGTGAAAATCCATCTCTTTGCAGAAGTCATACGTTAAGAAAACATGTACTTTGTAGCAGCTATTTTATGCATTCTACTGAAACTTAAAATAAGCTGCTATTAAGTTTAGCTTATCTTTATTTCATATAAAGTTAGGTTTTTACTATAGATTTCCTACATCGCACGTACGTACAGTACAAGAAATCCAAAAACTAGAGATTATGCCCGTTGGGAAAACCTCCACCTGGGTACTATTAACTTACCCCGGGTTATCCGGATAAATTACTATGTCACATAATAGCAATTTCTACCTTACTAAAAACTAATCTTTCCTTATAGAGACGTTGAAAATTAAATATTTCCTATTATTGGCAATTAAATTTCGGAAATATTTGATTTTCTTTGTTTACACCATATTTCAAAAATTGTACAGTACGTACTACATGAAAATAACGCGATTGTTTAGAAATGATACACACATCCCGAAATAGTATGTGGGGTGAAAGTATGATTTTTAAATTACTTGCACAATGAAATGCTTAATTTATTACAGATATCATTGAAGAGTCTTAAGACTCGCGTAATCTTGTATTATGCATACAAATTAGATTAAACATTTAGTTACTTATGTCCAGTGTTACAGGAAAAAAACATCCAGATTAGACATTTAGTTGCTTATGTGCAATGTTACAGAAAAAAAAGCAGAATGCGATAGTCAATAAAGACTTCTTAAGAGAACTTCCATTGACTTGAAATTCGTATGTCTTTATCGTAACTTTGGTAATTTAACGATAATGGAGACAAATCCTTACGGCTCATTTGCAAGTCCTAAAGAAAATGTTTATGCGAAATGGTATGTTGATGGAAAGGATTATTTTTATGCGGTGTCGGAAGCTTTAATGGCCGCAAGAATGAAATTTTTATTGAGGATTGGTGGCTTTCTCCAGAACTAGTAAGTTTTTTATTAGTGATTAGACCCTGAGAATAGATACTACTTCGCAATGGGTCAAATCTCTAGTTTTTATTAAAAATAAAAGTTTATACAAATCATATACAGTATTTGATGTATAACATTTGCGCATAAAAAGTATCTTAGAAGACCTCCTGCACATAACGATAACGAAAATTATCGCCTTGATAAGCTATTACTGAAAAAGGCTACTGAGGGTGTCAAGATTTATATCGTTTTATACGATGAGAATCCGAAAGTTCTGTATCTGAACTCTCGATATGCAGAAAGTACACTGATGAAACATCCAAACATTATTGGTATGAAAAAAAAGAACAATTCAAAATTATTTCTTTTATAACGATAGAATGTTAAAACATTCGTCATGGATTAGTGTTTAGGCATGCTGAAAATAATTTTTGGTCGACTGTCGAATGGGGATTTAACAAGCTTTGGAATGGTGTTTTTCCAAGTGCTGATTCTGTTAAACATCCAGAGATAGATCCTGACTCATTTTGGAGCGTAAATATATTAACATGTTATATTTGAATGTTCGGTTATTTAGTTAAAAAAAAAAAAAAGTGACATGATTTATTGTCCTCGCGACATTGTATACTAATTAGCATCATGAGGTATTATCAAGCCAAATATTACAATACTTTTATTTTAAGTGATTAAATTTAATTTCAATTAAAAAAGAAAATAGTAGTCATCGACAGACATACTGCCTTCATCGGTGGACTAGATTTGTGTTTTGGTCGATATGACACCCATGTTCACTCGTTAACAGATTTTCCTACATTTGCAAAACTCTCTGAAGTTTGGCCTGGTCAAGATTATAATAATGTCAGGATCAAAGATTTTGAAGAAGGTATTAATTAAACAATTAAACTAAATTATTATCAAAAGTTTTTTCTTTGTTTTAAGAACTTGAATCTACTTTTCTAGTTCAAAAGTGGAAAAATGTTTTGATTTCTAAGGAAATCTCGGCTCGTATGCCATGGCATGACATATCTATTGGATTCGTAAGTTTTTAATTCTTCAAAACATAGTAATAATACACATCCTTTCCTCATATTAATGTTCCATTTACTAAACTTGCGCTAAAGATTGGAGATCCTGCGGTAGATGTTGCAAAACATTTCATAGAACGTTGGAATTATATTAAATCCAGAAAAGCAAGAGATTACTCTAAGTATCCCATTTTTAAAAGAAGCTGCTACCGATGAGAGTCCAGGAGTCATCAGAACGTACAAATATTTTAATGAAACTGCTGAGGTTGATTCTTTAAAAGGCACATGCTCTGTGCAAATTTTAAGAAGTGCTAGTAAATGGAGTCATGGAATTGAGCTCGAGGTACGTGAAGTATTTTCTCAATAAATATACGTTGCCTTTTCATCTCATGAAATGTTTGTCTCATATATTTTATATGGGAATTTTCTAGAAATCAATTCACCATGCATATGTGCACACTATCGCAAATGCAAAACACTTTATTTACATTGAAAACCAATTTTTTAGTAATTATCATGTCTGTTTTTGGCTGGATCATATATAAACGCACAGATAATGAATAATTGACTTATTTACCTTAAAAACTCAATAGTTACGGCAACTCATAGTGACGCTATATTCCATAATAAGATTGGAAAAGTATATTACATCTACTTTTTCTTATCGTTAAGTTAGAAAGAGTGTTGAATGACTTAAATTTTATTCTTTTTTAAAAGGCACTTGTAAAACGAATTATAAAAGCTCATAAACTCCAAGAGAAATTTCGAGTTATTGTTGTGATGCCATTGATTCCAGGTTTTGAAGGTCAATTCGATGAAGAATCAGAGTCTTCTACAGTTCTACGGTAAATAATTTGCTGAAAAAAGGGGGTTGCTTTTCACAAATAGAAAAAGAATCGCGTCTAATTAAAGACAATTATAATATTTTTTTTATTTCACAATATTTTATTCAAGATTAACGATGGATTTTCAATACCGCTCAATATGTCGTGGTGATGATAAATGTGATGATTCAATTTGGGGGCAACTCAAAAAAGCCGACATTAATCCGGAGGATTATATATCTTTTTACGGTTTACGTACCTATGCTAAAATCGATTCTGAAGCTATTAAAAAAGCGAAGATTAATCTTGTATCTGAGACGAACCAAAAAACTTTATCCAAAAGGTCCTAATTATGACGAAAACCCAATCGTTACAGAGCAAATTTATATACATTCTAAACTTATGATCGTGGATGATCAAATCGTTATTTGCGGATCTGGTAAATTTTTTTGTGATTTATTATCTTTTTATTTAAGAATATTATTAAACATATTCTCTGTTTTTTTTTTACAGCCAACTTAAATGATAGATCTCAAATAGGAAAACATGACTCAGAAATCGCAGCAATCATTAAAGACACGGATGAAATTAACTCAAAATTAGCAGGAAAATCTGTAAGCATTAATTTTAACTACTACTTTTAAAAACCACAAGCTCACCATTATTTATTTCATTATACAGTTCAAAGCTAGTAAATTTGCAGTATCGCTAAGAAGGCATTTATTTAAAGAACATCTAGGATTGCTTCAAGATTCTGAACATGAAAGTTACTCACCACTGCTATCCCCCACCGTTACATATTGAAAGTAAATCTTGTCTCCTTAGAACAAATGTTGAAAAAAACTTAGAAGACCCTGTTAGTGATGGGTTTTTTAAATTGTGGAGAGGCATAGCTGAAGAAAATACAAAGATTTACGATGAAGTTTTTCATTGTTTACCAAGTGACAATGGTAATTATTCTTGTAGCATTTTTTAAATTATAATAATTTTAAATGAATTTTTTTCATTTTTCCCTAAATAGTTAAAACACAGTCTGATTATGAAAACTTTGCACCGAAACCAAACAAAGTTCCGTTAGGCCATGTTATACGATGAAAGTAAAATTGAAAAATTGAAAAATATTAAGGGACATTTAGTTCTATTCCCTTATGACTTTCTAAAAGGAGCAGAAACTATAACTTTTCACAAGATTAAAACTCTTAAGGATTTAAAAGATGATTTTGGCGAAGCTAAACTTAGTGTTGAAGATGGATTGATAGAAGATTTAACTGGGTCATCATTATCTGCTGCATTTAAATAAAACCAGGAAATATAAACACGTAGTGAATATCAATGTTTGGCTAAAAAGTGTCTATCAGACGAAGCATAAGATTCAGTCTTGTCTGATCATTTTTTCCCTTTTTTTTTTTACTAAATTTTTAGCAAGCTTGGTCTGTTTTTACAATATGCTTTTAAATTTATCTCATCATCGTGGCTTTTTATCGTCACTATGTTTTAGGCTTTATCACATGATAAAACTTATATTAACATTAAAGTATCGATTAATTGTTCAGTTTTTTTCAATTAATAAAGAATCAAAATATTCTCATTTCTATTATTATTGCATCTAAAACAAAACTTGATAATGAAATATAGCGGTTCTTTATTTTTATTTTTGTTTTAATTTTAATAACACGAAATCGTATTGTGAAAATCTTAATCCACAATCTAAATCAACATCAAGCAAAAGTCATGGAAATATGGACTTTGAAGCATCGAAATTTTGGGACGCGCATGCGCGGTAATTCGAATCATTTTGACAAATCTGATTACAAGAGGATGCCCTATTTTTATTAATGAACTTAGCCTGAAAATTCGATCAAATATGTAATATGGTATATTTAAGGGGCGCATTATTGTGGGACGCGCGTGGGCGCTATTTTGAGTAAAAAAATAAATTTTTAAAAAAAGGGAGTTTTGAAATAACGCCCATATGCGTTATTACCAATGATGCAGACATTTCTCAGATTAGTGACTACTTACGGCATTACGGCTATGCGTAGAGGTCGCACTACCCCGAGGTTATATTGCCGTGAGATGGTTGTCGTGAGTGATGTAGGTTCATGCGCTTTACACAATTATAATTAATTTTCGTATATCATCCAATCAAGTTGCTGAATACACATAGCTAAATCCTTTTCTTTAACGTTAGATACCGTATAAGCGCGAAATAACGCCTACCTGTGCGTTATTTCGAATACACCCATGTGCGTTATTTCGAAATAATAGTTGATTTTCTAAATCCAATACAGTCAGTAGGGTTGTTAATGGAGCACTCCAGCCAATAATAAAAAATATAACCCACTCTGGAGCACCCCAAAAGTGGGTTATATGTTTTATTAATGTCTGGAGTGCTCCGTTAACAACCCTAGCAGTCAACCTTCCATAACTGCACGTTTTTGGGTAAAAATACATTTATAGAATATTCATTTATGGGCATAATCTACATATAACTATACTTGCTGCCCAAACCCGGACAAATCCCAAACCCCTAAAAAACAATTGCTATTTATAAAAAATTAAATCAAACAAATAATTCTA